AAACCCACCCCCCGCCCCATAAAATAAAGAGACGCGAGAAAGCAAGAGGGGGGGCACGGCACGGCACGACACGGTACGTCGCAGAGGAAGTTTCCCCAAAACAGCAAAAGACGCAAAACGAAGTGTGGGGTCCACCGTCTGATGTTAATCAATCACGGAAATAAATACGACGGTACGCGCATCGGACGGTCGGAATTTGTTCGACGCAGTCAGACAGTGACTCATCCAAGCGGAAGATCCACTGGCGCAAAAGCAGGCGCAACCACTGATCTGTGGGTTTAAAACTCGAAGACAAACTCTTCCAGTCCACTTCGTTAACCCCAGCGTTATCTCTCTACAGTCTCTAACCCTGTAGGGTCAACCCCATCAAGTGGTTACAAATTTCCCAATCAAAGTGGACCTTCCACGATATAACTATATCTCTATAATATGTATGTATGTGTATAAAGGAAAGGGAGGGAGGTGGGGGAAATGGGAATTACCTGGGGTAGGAATTTACTGTGTGAGATTGTACGAAGAAAAGTCAGGGTGATTGTCAAGGAGCTGCCTACAGTATGTCTGGTCTGCCAAACCTGTCGGGCCCACTTTTCCATGCCTTTTAAATAATTTTCAGGCCCAATACCATTTTACCTCTTCGGTTAAAATGTAACTATCAACACTTTCTGGGCCCACAAAGGCCCACTACGTCCCACCTTCCACTCCCTTACTTAAATAAAATTACACATCCCCAGCTACACAAACCGACCTTAGCTCAGTTGGTAGAGCGGAGGACTGTAGTTGTTGCCAACAGTTTAATCCTTAGGTCGCTGGTTCGAATCCGGCAGGTCGGATTTTTTTTTTTTTGTTCTATTTTTTATTTCTAAGTTGATATGCTGTTTTAAAACTTTGTGAGATAGGAAAAATGAGAACGAGACCCAAACAAAATAAAAATTATTATTATTTTTTAATATTTTATATAAGTTATAATATGTATATATATATATATATATATATATTATATATATATATATATATATATAGTGTATCTATAGATACACAGGGCAGCCCATCTTTTCAAGAATAACTCATAAACCATACAACGATTCTCATTTAACACTGTCATCTTCACTTTTATCATTCTACAAACACGCAGCATGGCCCATCTGTGACCTGTAAATTTAAAGTCTGAAAGATATTTCTGCATGCTAAGTAGTATTCTATTTCAATACTGTCTTGTCTTCCTCTTTTTGTGATCGAGGGAATGAATGTATGAGCAGAAAACACAAAGTATGTCAAGACCAGAATCGCGTCAAACAAGTAGAAGATCGTCAGCTATAGCTTCTTCGATTTCTATACACCGGAATACATCACTAAACAAATCAGGCTATTCTGATGCTCAAACAAGTGGAAATCAAAATAAATGTACAGCATCCTCTTCATCACTCAAGGCATTGAATACAGATACTGTGAACCTGCAAAGTTTAAGCAAACTGTGGTTAGAAACCCATCGTGCAAGATTGCCATCGGTTATCCTTCTTTGAGGAGGATGAAGCAATGGAGAAACAAAAGAAAATGGGAAAAAGGGAATCATCGAAGATAGAAATTTAGGAGAAGTTAAAGAGGGATTTTCTTAAATGCTAATGTTGGAATAATTCGAGAGACATTTTAAAATTCATCTGTAAGTTTAGACTCAGTTTAACTAGGAGATTATATAAATAATATTAGGATAGGAAAAAAGGAGTTTGTGTGGAATTGAAATAATAAATTCTAAGTTCCAGCGATGTTAAAATTTGTTCCGGTATAAGAGTGGATTTGTGAATGAATTCAACCCAAATTTTAAATTTGTTCAAAACGTAGCTAACTCTATGGTATCTTGGAGGCATCATGACTCCAAAGCCCTTAAGCAACAGTCTCTTAAACACCTCACAGTAATTCTATAGCGTTGTGTGGTAATGGACTATGCTGAATTATACTAAGTTACTTCATTTATGGTACAACATTATCAAATTACTACGTAATATAAAAGACTGAGGGGTGGAGACAAAGCGAGAATGCCTTCTTGATGGGAAAATAATAAATAAGTATAACACAATAAAATCA